TTCAAGTGTACATAAAAGCAATATTGTGGTAAGAGCATTTGATGGATCAAGACGGGAAGTATTAAGATCCGTTTGTCTCTCCCTGGAGATAGGGCCAAGCAGGTTTAAGGTGGATTTCCAACTCATGGACATAGACCCAATCTACACCATGCTGCTAGGAAGGCCATGGATTCATTCTGCTAGGGCTGTTCCTTCTACCCTACATCAAAAGGTTAAGTTCATCAATGATGGGGGAATTATAGCAGTTAAAGGAGAGGAGGAAATCATGGTGAGCAAACTAAGCTCACACCCTTATATTGAGGCTATAGAGAAGGATCATGAAGTTTCCTTTCAAAGCTTGAAGGTTGAGGGTATTTGTGATAGTACTCACAACATGAATTTCGTTGTGGCTAAAATCATGACGAAGAGTGGGTTTATGCCAGGGAAAGGTTTAGGCTCTCATTTACAAGGAATTATGTGTCCAATTAAGGTTTTGGATAATTGTAATCGCCAAAGGTTAGGGTATGAGCCTACCCTAAAAGACCAGATGAAAGACAAAGAAAGTTTGGCAAAAGGCAAAAAGACCAGTAAATTGGAGATTCCACACATCAATGAATCCTTCCCAGGTCCGTCCAAGGTGATATATGAACCAACTGTCTCAGTGATCTCTTCTAACAAAGATGTAGTATGTGGAACAAGTGCCTCAATTGCAATTGCTGATTCCAACAAAGTTCTGGCAAATTGGGAGTTTGAAGAGGCCAATGATGTAAGCTTAGAGTAATTGTTTCAATTATGTTGTTCCTAGTTTGTTATCCACTTTTGAGCCCAGGTTTAGGTAATAGATCTTGGGTATTCTTTAATGCAAACTTTTGATATATGTAATTCATGAAACTGAATTTCAGTTGCATTCATGTCTATCTCTTCATTTCACCCTATCTACTTCAATATATTTTTCTCCATTTCATTCCTGTTCCTTATTTTATCTCATTCCACATTCATTATCCAAGGATTTTGTTTCTTCTGATTCCATCTCTCACCTAGAGATTAATAAACCCTGTGAAGATGATTCACTCGTTGCCACTGATATGTATGATTGTGAGTCTGATGATAAAGACGTAATCCAAACTTTTTCTAAGATGCTTAAATTGAGTGATAAGGGAATATGCCCACATGAAGAAGTGATTGAGATGGTTAATATGGGAACCGAGGAGGATCAAAGAATGCTCAAAATAGTAGATAATCCTGAAAGAGAACAAATGATTGAGTTGTTCAAAGAATACATAGATGTGTTTGCATGGTCTTATAAAGATATGCCCGGCCTAAACCCAAGCATTGCTTCTCATAAAATACCATTACTTCCCAAGGTTGAGCCTAAGAAACAGAAGTTAAGGAGAATGAACACGAGGGTGTCCTTCCAAATAAAAGAAGTAATAAAGCAGTTAGAAGCAAGATTTTTGGAGGTAGTAACTTACCATTAATGGGTGGCAAATATTGTTCCTGTTCCTAAAAAAGATGGTCGGATTTCAATATGTGTTAATTATCGTAATTTAAATAATGCGAGCCCGAAAGATGATTTTCCATTACCCCACATTGATGTATTGGTCGATAATACTGCTCGAAGCTATCGCTATTCCTTTATGGATGGTTATTCAGGGTACAATCAAATCCCTATGCATGAAAGAGATAAAGAGAAAACAACCTTTACAACCCAATGAGGAACTTATTGTTACCGAGTGATGCCTTTTAGTTTGAAAAATGCTGGAGCAACTTATCAACGAGCTATAGTAGCACTATTCCATGACATGATGCATAAAGAAATTGAAGTATATGTAGATGATATGGTAGCTAAATCAGCAGAGGATGAGAGTCATATTAGAGTCCTTAGAAAGCTATTTAGGAGATTACGCGAATATCGACTAAGATTGAATCCTAACAAATGCATCTTTGGAGCTCTTTCTGGGAAGTTATTGGGATTCATTGTGAGTCGTAAAGGGATAGAAGTAGATCCAGATAAAGTAAGGGCAATTCAAGAAATGCCATCTCCCCAAACAGAGAAAGAAGTTAGAAGTTTCTTGGGACGACTGAATTACATTGCTAGGTTCATCGCCAATCTAACAGCTACTTGCGAACCAATGTTTAAGCTGTTAAAGAAAAATTGCAAGGAGACATGGGATGATGATTGTCAAAAGGCATTTGATAAAATTAAAGATTATTTGTTAAATTCCCCAATTTTGGTCCCTCCATCACCAGATCGTCCACTAATCCTTTACTTGGCGACTTTACCTCGCTCAATGGGAGCAATGCTAGGCCAACACGATGATTCTGGAAAGAAGGAAAGAGCAATTTATTTCTTGAGCAAGAAGTTTAACGAGTGCGAAGCTCGTTATCCAATGATTGAGAGAACTTGTTGTGGACTAGTTTGGGCAACTAGAAGGCTAAGGCAATACATGCTTTACTACACTACCTGGCTAATCTCACGAGTGGACCCACTCAAGTACATCTTTGAGAGCCCGCACATTGCAGGTAGAGTACTAAAATGGCAAGTTGTACTATCTGAATATGATATAAAGCATGTGATGCAAAAGTCAGTCAAAGGTAGTGCGATAGCAGATCACTTGGCTGATAATCCTTTAAAGGATGACCAGCCGTTAGATTTTCAATTTCCTGATGAAGGCATATGTACTACAGAAGAAGGTTGTGACGAAGAAAATGATAAAGTGTAACATCCTGATTTTTTTAGATAAAAAAATTTTTTTGTGAAATTTAAGTTTTTATTTAAAAAAATAAATAAATAATAATAATAGGAATTTATATTATTTGAGATTATTCAGAAATAATAATATGGTTAGAAATTTCATTATGAATTAAAAACTTAGGTTTAAAATTATATAAAAAATATTTTGTTAAGATATAATTTTAAGATTTAAAAAAATTATTATGTGTGTGTGAGTTTTAAAAAAAAAGAAAAGAAAGTAAAAAAAAAAGGAGGGTGTAGAAGTCCCACATCGGTTAGATGTGGGATGAGGAAAGGATTCCTCATGTATAAAAGAAAGCGAGAGCGTGCAGAAGAAGGAAGAAAAGAAAAGTTTATGCAATTGTGAAAATTGCAACTAAGGGCCCAAGATGCAATTTAGAAAAAATTGCAAGTAATGGCCCAAATGTTTGAATAATTAAATTCAAACCTATAGTTTTTTTTAATATAATTTTGGGATCCACAATCCCATTTTTATATTATTTTTCTCTCTTCCTCTCACGTTGCTCGGAATCTTCTTGCAAGGGGGGATTATTTTCTTTTTCTTCAGGTATGTTCTAACTTTCTTGTTTAGATAAGCATTTAAAAATTTATTTAATTATAAAATTAATTTTATAGTTATTTTCTAAATAATATTAGCTTTCTAGTGATATGATTATTTTGTAGGATAGAGTAAGTATTCTGATTAGGATTTTTCTATATGATAGTTAATCTGATGATATGATGGATTAAAAATATAGGTTAAAATTCTTAGGGATATAATAAATATTATAAAATTTTTTTTTGAGGTTGAAACTCATGTTTAAGAATTTTTGAGTTAAAATCTAGATCTATATGGTTGAATTTATCTGGAATCTAGGATGTAGGGATAAACCTATGATTATTAAATATTTATTTAAGTATGAATAGGTATTTTTGAGGTTATAGAAAGGTGATTTGAGGCTTCAGGATAATTCTAAAATTTTTAATTTATTTTTGGACAAATTTTTAGAATATAGAAGGATGAAATTGTGATACGAGAAGTGATTTGAGGATAAAAAAATAGTTTATTAGAGTACGAGAATTTTAGAAAAAGAATTTGGGAAGTTAAATGAGGCATAAATCTTAAATTAGTGTTAATATGGATTATAGATCTAAGACTTTCTAACTCTTTAAATTAGAGTTATGTATTTTAATGTAAAATTAATATATAGTATTATGAAATAACTATGTAAATTGTGTTGACAAAGATAGTGGTGAAAGAGGAGTTGTGAAGGGGAACTTGTTATTCAAGACACAAGGTAACCATTATTAATGTGTTGTGATGGGTGTGTTTGTGAATGGTTATGTATTGTTTTTATTGTTTGAAAAAATTATAAATTATTGAAAATAAATACTGTATATACTTGTTTGAAATTATTGCCAAGTGGGTTAAAAAATTTATTTTTGTTTATCATGATGAGATATTATTGTTCGAATATATTCCTGTTTGGATATTTGAATGATGCATGACTTGTCAGGGTATTTTAATGTATGGTGTTAATGGAAATTTTTGTTCGGTTAATTATTACCACGTGGTAAGCCCTTATTGGACCCAATGAGTGGCGTGTCGCTTGGTCCAACTCACCTTTGGCCAGGTGATTTGGCGTCCGAGCATGGCGAAAGGAGGATATAAGGTGCAGTCATGCAAATTAAATACTTGTTCGGTTTGTTTGAAAGTATTGTTCGGTTAAATGTTTTGTGTGCCCACTTAGCAATCGCATGATTAGTTACATCCGCATGCATCATTACATATTAATTTTTGGTTATTGGGACTTTTAAGTCTCATTCCCCGTGGTTAATATTTTTACAGGAGAGAGTCCGGCCGAGAAAGCACCAGAGGTGTAACTATGGTGTATGAGACACCATCTTTTACGTTGCCTCTTATTTTGGATTATACAATGTATCTTGTGCCAACTTAGGACATATCTTCTTTGAGAAGCATGTAAACTCTAATCCTTTTTATTAATAGTATTTATATGACCAAGAGGATTATGTCCATCCCTCTTGATTTATGATCTGACTTGAATATCATGCCATAAGGATCCTGTCTATCCCTCATGGTTTTAATTGCTTTTTGAGATATTTTAAGACCTGTGGTATATTGTCTTGGATGTACCATGGTAGAAATTTTTCTACCATGATAAGGGTATGATGAGGGTTCAATGAAAAAAATGATTTATTGAATTAATGATTTAGGAAAAATCGGTTTGTAAATTTGAGGGTGTTACATAAAGAGCAAGAATGAGAAATGTATTTTGATGGAGCCGCCAACATGCATGGAAATGGGGTAGGAGCGATAATCGTTTCACCAGAAGGAAAACAATTTCCAGTGGCTATCAAATTGGAATTTGATTATACTAACAATATAGCAGAATATAAAGCTTGTGTTAATGTTCTTCGAGCAGCTATTACCCTTGGTATACGATGTTTGAAGGTATTTGGTGATTCAGTACGCATTATTCATCAAGTAATAGGAGAATGGAGGACAAAAGATGCAAAATTGATTCCCTATCAAGAACTCTTAACAAATTTGATTAAGCAATTTGAGGTTGTTAGCTTTCACCACTTGACTCGAGATAAAAATTGTTTCACTGATGCTTTAGCCACTTTAGCAGCAATAATCCAACTTGATTATGGAGTCCATGTCCAACCCATTCAAGTAGAAGCTAGAAGCTTTCCAGCATATTGTCTGAATGTTAAAGAAGATCAAGAAGAATATCCTTGGTTCCAGGATATTAAGGACTATATCACTAAGAGATCATACCCAACCGGAATGACAGAGAATGAAAAGAAAACCCTTCGTTGTTTAGCTATGACATTCTTTGTAAAGATGTTCTATACAAGAGGGGTTATGATGGTACCTTACTTCGCTGTGTGAGTTTAGATGAAGCAAAGAAAATCATGGTTGAGGTACATGAGGGCATATGTGGCACGCATGCGAATGGTCATACTATGGCTAAACAAATTCAAAGGTGTGGCTACTTTTGGCTAACAATAGAGAAAGATTGCTTTGAGCATATCAAGAAATGCCACAAATGTCAGATCTATGCTAATAGGATAAATGCTCCTCCAATCCCATTACATAATTTGGTATCACCCTGGCCATTCTCAATGTGGGGTATTGACATTATTGATCCAATTAACCTAAAAGCTTTGAATGGACATCGCTTCATTCTTGTCGCGATTGATTATTTCACAAAATGGGTAGAAGCAAATTCATTTGCTAGCATCACACAAAAGACGTTCCTTAAATTCATGAAGACAAATATTTTATGCCGATATGGGATTCCTAAAAGGATCATTACTGATAATGGTCCCAATCTCAATGGAACGGAAGTCAAAAACTTTTACGAGAAGTTCCAAATCAAGAATCATAATTCAGCCCCATATAGACCTCAAATGAATGGAGCTGTTGAAGCAACCAATAAAAATATTAAGAAGATCATTGGAAAAATGACAGTAACTTATAAGGATGGGCACGAGATGCTTCCCTATGCTTTACATGGTTATCGTACTACTGCACGCACATCCATAGGGGTAACCCCAGACTCCCTTGTTTATGGAATGGAAACTGTTACACCCATTGAGATGGAAATACCATCCTAAAGAGTATTGGCAGAGGTAGATTTAGAAGAAAATGAATGGGTATGAACTCGATTTAAGCAACTTAACATGATTAAAGAGAAAAGGCTCACTGTAATATGTTATGGACAGTTGTACCGAAGGAGAATGGCAAGAGCTTTTGATAAAAAACTTCACCCACGGGAATTCAGTGCTGGTGATCTTGTACTCAAGAAAATATTGCCTAACCAAGAAGATACTAGAGGCAAATGGGCTCCAACCTATGAGGGACCTTATGTTGTCAAACATGCCTTTTCTGGAGGAGCACTAATCCTAGCTGACATGGACGGTCAAGAGTTAGCAAAGCCCATTAATGTGGATGTTGTCAAGTGTTACTTTGCTTAAACAGAAAATGAAAAAGAATGAAGCGCTCGTTAGGTTGAAAACCTGTAAAGGCAACCTAGGCAAAAGTTAGAGCCAATAGAAAATGAAAAGGAAAGAATAGCTCATTAGGTTGAAAACCTGTAAAGGCAACCTAAGCAAAAGTTAGAGCAAAGAACAAGCAAAGCAATGATAAGAAGAAGAAGAGCTCACCAAGACAAAAAGATGTCTTAGGAGAAGAAAGGGAAGGCATCAAAAGTTAAGTATCTATGTTCAGGAAAGTTGACTCCATCGTCTCTCATACTATGCATATCAATGACGGCTTAGTGAAGCACTTGTTGGGGTTTTGAAAAGCTAAAGGAGAGAGATGTGATTAAGTGAATATATATATCCCATTTGCACTTTGGCCATTCATACTTATAAACTAAGATATTCCCATTTCTTTATGAATTTTGGCATCAGAGAATGAATTTTTCTGCTCTTGCTCCTTTAAGACCATCTTTCTTCTCGTTTAGTGTTATCATATTCGAATTCATATCTCATATATTACAGCAGGTTTGCATTCAAGGAACAATATTTATTGATACATTTACTTGATGTAGAATGCTGGTATCTTTATTCTTGCCTTTCGCCCTTGAGGTATCAAGATCATCGCATAGGTGTAAAATGATAACGAGAGCATATGTGCAATCAGTATTCAGTCATAATAGTTGATCTCATTAACATAAAGGCAAGATCAAGTGACGAGAATTTGGTCGTTTGAATTTTCTAAAGAGGGGCAACGACATACTGTGATAGCTATTAATGAATAAAGGTTAAATAATGGACCTGGAGGTATTACCTTGTATTCAAAATGGTTTATTCAATATGCACGAAAATTTTCAAAAAGGAATATATATTAAGATAGTTGTCAACATCAAGCCTTCCAATAAAAAAATTTTTTGTAATACATTTGCATTATCCACGCATTTGCATTAGGGCAAATGGGCGCATCTTACCCTTTGCATTTATTGCAAACAAAAAAAGAAGTCTCTTAAATTGAGACAAACAAAGGTTCCAACCTTTTACATTGCAAATCATCCGTCCATGGTGTATTGTACATATTTTTAGCACCTATGAAAAAAATCATACATGGCACATTACTACATTGCATTCCTTGTTATAGAAATATGCTTCATTTGGATTGGGGCAAAGAAAAATTAAAAAAAAAAACTTGAGGAACTAAAAGGAGAATTAACAAACCCCTCGTAAGATAGAACCTATTCTCACACACCTCAAAGCCCAGTACCGGCTGGCATGATTCTTTAAAAGCCCTGTAACAGCAGGCACCCCAAAGCCTTGTCACGGCAGGCACCTCAAAGCCTAGTATCGGCTGGCACGATTCCTTAAAGCCCTGTAACAGCAGGCACCCCAAAGCCTAGTACCGGCTAGCACGATTCTTTAAAGCCCTGTAACGGCAGGCACCCCAAAGCCCAGTACCGGCTGGCACGATTCTTTAAAAGCCTTGTAACGGCAGGCACCCAGAGCCCTGTTACAGCAAGCACCCCAAAGCCCAGTATCAGCTGGCATTTTTTTAAAGCCCTGTCACGGCAGGCACCCCAAAGCCTAGTACCAACTGGCATGATTCTTTAAAAGCCTTGTAACGGCAGGCACCCTTAAAGTCCTGTAATGGCACCCCAAAGCCCAGTACCGGCTGACACGATTCTTTAAAGTCCTATAATGGCAGGCACCCTAAAGCCCAGTACCAGCTGGCATGATTCTTTAAAAGCCCTGTAACGGCAGGCACCTAGAGCCCTGTTACGGCAGGCACCCCAAAGCCCAATACTGGCTGGCATGATTCTTTAAAAGCCCTGTAATGGCAGGCACCCTTAAAGTCCTGTAACGGCAAGCACCCTGAACTTCTTGTAACGGCAAGCACCCTAAAGCCCAATACCGACTGGCACGATTCTCAAAAGCCCTGTCACGACAGGCAACCCCAAAGCCCTGTAACAGCAGGCACCTTAAAAGCCCAGTACCGGACGGCACGATTCTTTAAAGCCCTATAATGGCAGGTACACTTAAAGCCTTATAACGGCAGGCACCCTTAAAGCCTTATAATGGCAGGCACCCCAAAGCCCAGTACTGATTGGCACAATTCTTTAAAAGTCATGTAACGGCAAGCACCCTTAAAGCCCTGTAACGGCAGGCACCCCAAAGCCCAGTACTGGCTGGCATGATTCTTTAAAAGCCCTGTTACGACAGGCACCCTAAAGCCCAGTATTAGTTGGCACAATTCTTTAAAGCCCTATCGTGGCAGGCACCCTCCAAGCCTTGTAAAGTCAAGCATCCACCAGGTCTTTTGGCACATAGGCAATTCATCTCCATTGAGGTTTTGTTTTGTTTATTTCCTAAATCACATTTGATTTTAAACCCTTTGTTTTATTTTGTTTTGTTTTGTTTAGTTGTGGCTGCCTAAGAGTCTTGCCCCTCCAAACAAAATACATGTTTTTCTCTTCATTCATTTCTAAGATAAGAATATCATCTTATAAAATTCTCACTTAGAAATCAAATAAAGAGGGGGCATTTAGTCAACATATATTTTGTTTGGATTGTTGTCATTTAATCATTTACATCACATTGCCAAAAAAAATCAAAATCAAAATCATTTTACTGTGTTAAACAATAGTCTTGTATTTAATCATATCTTGTTGTGTTAGGTCTTTTCATAGGTATTGCATGGCCGACCAAAATACATGTTCTATCTTTACTTATCACTTATGTGAGAATTTAAAACACACTTTTTCATATATTGTTTGGATCGTTGTCATTTAATCATTTACATCACATTGCCAAAAAAAATCAAAATCAAAAATCATTTTACTGTGTTAAACAAATAGTCTTGCATTTAATCATATCTTGTTATGTCAGGGGCAATTAGGTCTTTTCATAGGTATTGCATGGCCGACCAAAATACATGTTCCATCTTTACTTGTCACTTATGTGAGAATTCAAAACACACTTTTTCATATACTTACATAAGAAACAAGTAAAGAGGGGTAACTGTGAACACCGTATTTTGTCCGGACATTTTTTTTAATAATAAATAACCAAAATATATAAAAATATAAAAAAATATATAATAAACATAAAAAAATAGAGCTGTTAGGATCTTTAGGATTATATTTTCTTAAAAGACTTATTATATTTTCTTTTTAGGATTATATTTTCAAAAATATTTGCTTAATCTAAAATCAATTCTTTTTAAGTCCCTTAATCCAATTTTTGAAATTAATAAACATAAAAAAAGAGTTATTAAAAATTAAAATATATACAGCAAAAGTGGAAAAAAAAATACAAGGCTGAAACATGCACCAACACAGCACACGCACAGCAGACACGAAATGCAAAAACAGCAAAGAAATGTAGAAACAGCAAAGAAACGCAGGCACAGAGACGCAAAAAAAAAAACAAGCACACACTTTCGGCCATACAGCAGGAGAAAGGACAGAAACAGTAGAACACACGAATATATGAGCTGCAGACGCTGAAAGAACCAGAGGCAACAGACACAAAACGTAAAAGAAGCAGAACAGAGCAGAAAGAACAGCAAGCAACTGGAACACGTAAGCATATGCTTTCGACTAGCAGGAGAAAAGAAACAGAACCAAGGATGCATGCATGCATGAAGGAAACAGCATAGCAGAGAAAGCAGATGGGACGACACAAAAAAATAGAGACTTCGGCACACACAGAAGACGCAGCAGCAAGGAAGAATCGGAGCAGAAGAGCAATGATTCACCTCTTCCATCCCCTATATAAGACTGAATGTGAAACAAAGAGGGGGCGGTTTTTTAGACTGGAAAAAAAAGGAGAAACAGACAGACAGAAGAAGCAGAAAACAGAGCACGAAAAATCGAAGGAGAAGAGAAGAGAAGGGTGACCAAGAAGGAGAAACAGGAATGTGAAAATGGAGCAGAAATCTAGAGCAGGAGACCGAGAAGAAGAGTATGAGGATGGACAAAAGAGAGGAGAAGAAAGCTGGACATGAAAATTGAAAAAATAGAGACCGAGTGAAAGGAGAAACTGAGAGAATGTACGCAGAAGGAATGTGAAAGCTGGAAATAAGGACAGAGAGAAAGAGAAAACGAGATCAGAAAGAGAGAAGTCTGCTAGACTGGTAAGACGAAGCTGAGACGTGCTACACACTGGTTTACTAGTCTGCTTGTTTAAAAATTTAAAATGCTCAGTTTGATTTTAGTTTATTAATTTCCAAACAAATTTCATGTTTAAATACATGTACCTCGTTTTTTTTAGTTCTTAAGTAAAAATCAATGTGATTGTCTTTTTCTTAATAATAATAATAATAATAATAAAAAAGAGAGTGTGTGAAAAAGAAGTATAAAGAGATTGCAAATAATAATTTTGTTTGCTATCATAACTAAGCTTAATGAAATTTTAGGTGTAATCTCATTTCAAATAAAGAAAGAGTTAGTGTAATTATTAGGCAAGGTCTTTAAATATGTGTTTAGCATGAAAGGGCATATCAATATGTGTGGGCATGTTTTTCATTTCCATTAGTCCTAAGGTCCTTTAATTATCAATAATATTACACTCATATTGTATGACACTTTCTATGACAATCACATGTACGATTTCAATTATTATGACGAGCTTATTTTATAAAA